GATATTTTTGGTATACAGGCAGTCCTCGTGCTTACGAAGCAACGGGAAAGGGAAGGGTGGCCTATTCTATGCAGGGACCTACACGGCTAAATGTATGTATACTAAAATTTATAACGATTTTTGGACGTGTGTTGATGAGTGTTTTTAAGATGTTACGATGTAACAAATTTATTTTCACATTAATAATATCAGTTATCTATACGACGGTTTTTTTAACAAACTTTAACATAAACAGAAGGTTTTCAAATTCGATAGGATTTTTTGATGTTGTTTGTTACCTCATAACTCCGTCAATTATAAATCGATTTAAAATATTCTTTTTGCATATGAAAGAATATACTTTTTAATCGGTTCCATAGAAGTTTTATCAAAATCGGTTCATTAGTTTCGTTTTGAAATAAAAATAACTGGTTTTATTGCAATTGAAGTAGTTATTTTTCGTGGAACACAATCTTTAATTATAAGGTGTCATGTAACAAATTTAGTAAGGATTCTTACTAATGCTTTTTAACCGTAATTGTGTTATCAATGTTGATAAAGTAGTTGTTTAAAGAAACCCGTTATTTTAACTCTTATCAGGAAACATGAAACAATGACGTTTGCGTTAGTTTGTAAGGAGAATTATTTTGCACTAACAGGCCTGATTTAAATATATATATATATTTAAATATATATATATATATATATATATATATATATATATATAAGTTATATAGTTGTGTAGGTCCCGGTATAGAATTGTTCACCCATCCTTTCCCGTGGATGTCCCAGGAGGCGACTAAGGAAGCTTAGTGGAGAGCAGCTTGAAACATCCTCAAGAGTCCAACTTCGATTGCCAATCCGCCTGCCAAACGTGGCAATTACTGGCAAAACACCCCTCATGGGGGAGGCTATGTTTAGCAGTGGACAGTTAGCGGCTGTTACAACATATACTTTTAGTTACAGTTATCAATTATATTTATATTTATTTATTATATGTTAACGCTTTACATTTAAATCCCATAGAAAAATTCTCCTATCAAGTTCGCAAGGTTGACTACAAGAAATCCCTTCAATAGATAAGTGCGCCTATGTACCTTGCCATTTTATTTATAACTTGATATATATATATATATATATATATATAATATATATATATATAATAAAATCGTTTCTGGTCGCTGTCTGTACACGAAAGATATATAAGAAAAATAATTATAGTCGGTCTTTATGAACGCAATAGAACAATGATTTTTAGAATTTTTGTTTGTTTGTCTGTACGTTTGTGCACGCTAATTTCAGAAACGGCTTAACCGATTTAAATGCGGTTTTTACTAATACACTGCGATTTGCTCAACTTTACATTTAAGGTTTGTTTTATTTCCATTGGTTTATAAATAAATAAGTTATATGTAAAGAATCACATATAAAATACTATAAACCCATCAACAATCAATCAACCGATCAGTTGAATTGGCTTAAACTTTTTTTTTATTATATGTATTGATTTTAAAAAATTACTAATCTACTCGTGCGAAGCCGGGTCGGATCGTTAGTATTAAATATGTATAATAACGCTTATAAAAAAAAAAAAACTAACAAACGGTACTTTTATTAGATATTCGAACAAAAGACTTCTCGAATTTTATTACATGTACGAACACTCTAGTACAGAGCAGTCCAAACCATGGCCCGCGGAGCACATGCAAACCGGTGCTTGAATTGATGCGGCCTGCTAAATCTTTTCTAGCTACTATACTACCAATACTGATGTTGATGTTGACAGAAATGTAAAAGATAAATTAATGAAAAAGTAATACAATAACAAAATAATGATATTATAGCTGCATTTTGTTTATATAAATATTTTGCAGCCCCCAATGAATTTAGTCTCTTTTATTGGCCCTAGATCCTATCTAGTTTGGACAGCCCTGCTCTAGTAGAAACACAATAGGTACGTAACTATACACCTGTCGTACTTTATATCTCCCTGATAATGTATCTACCTAGTGGACAATTTGATAAACTACTCATATCAGATAAAGTTTTACTGTCAACAATTACGAACAGCACTAAATATCCGGAACTCGTTTGCCTCTTGTGGCATAAAAAAATTTAATATAATGCAAGTGAATTGTACCTTTACCGTACGCGATCCGACCCTACTTCATAGGGTTTGATAAAATTTTCAAAAATAAAAGTAGTAGTTGAATGAATGTTTTAAATAGAATGAATACATACATACATATCTGTCACGCCTGTCTCCCATTAGGGTAGGCAGAAACAATGGAACGCCAAATGTTTCGATTCAAACAAACCTCTTTCGCTTCTTCCACATTCATCAATCTTTTCATACACGCTCGCCGGTTACGGGTACTTTTAATTTGGCCCTTCTTCAGCACGTCGCCTATTTGGTCAACATACGTCCGTCTAGGGCGGCCCCTACCGACATCTCCATTCTTTCTAGCTCTATAAATCTTTTTCGTAATTCTTCTTAATAATGCATAATTTTTAATATTACTGATTTCTTGTCTCATTTTCTATTACTGATTTATTTATTAATAGGTACTCTGCCAGCATCAGAAAATATAGAGAACTTGTATGAATTTTATGAAGAATAAGTCTTTATTACGGCTCAATCTTTAATTATTAAACACTCGGACTTGTTAGTATAGAACTTAATAATAAAATTGCTACCACTACTCGTATTGGTACCAATTTCATTATTAAGATAAGATGAAATAAACGCATCGATTGATGACATATTTAGAACGCGGAATCCTGTACTAACAGCTACAAAATTTTGTTCTGATCTACCCAGTTCTACGTGTTCTCCTTTAATCAAAGGTTGCCTGTAAGAGATTGTCCTAACGATAAGACCGCCTTTTGTACCTTTATGAATATATTGTAATATGTATTTATGTTACTGTATTTCACTTGAATTATTCAATTGTTATTGTATATTTTTATTTTTCTGGTGCAATAAAGAGTTAAATAAGTATATAATAAATAAATCTGTAAGAACAGCCGCATCAATCATAACAACCCTAATATTAGAATAAAGAAAACAAAAATAGATTTTGTATTGATAAAAACATTGTGAACATACAAATATGTATGAAAAAATACAAAAAAAAAAAATAGACTTAAGAGGCGAATCGTAAACCCCTTTCTTTAGGAAATAAAACACAAAAGTAAAAAGTTATGAACATTCAGATTATAGGATTCATAATGTATTTATAAATCTAACAATCTATTTTGTAGCATACTAGCGACTAGCCCGGGCTTCACACGGGTATAATACTGGCTTTTAACCAGAACAGAATATCAGTGTTTTGCTTTTTTAAGGGAAAGTCAATAAATTGAGTTGTGACTATTTTGTGTTATTATGCCACACGCAAGAAAGAAAAAGGAAATATTATATATATGTTTGTATTATATATAATTATATATTTATATGAATTGTATATATCTAAGATGTCGAAACCACTTGGGCAATTTCGGAGATTAGCATGAACGGATATCATGAAACGGGATTTGTTTTTATATGAGAGGAAGATAAAGCCACGCCTAAACAGTCAATACTGTAAAAACTATAAATTAATAGACATTCCATTGGCTAATTGCAAAAGAATTCATTTAGGGAGAAGAAAACACCATAAGGGGTGTGGAAAGTTGCCAATTAACACAGATCCGATGTACTATGTCGGCTTAGCTTTCTAGTTTCGCGGAATCGATATAATTAAGGGCGCCATTAAAAATGACAGAACTTATTCTTGGGAAAATCTTTAGTGTGTTGACGGGGTAAGAATGTAAAGAATAGCACTTATATTTATCAAAGATATAGCAACTAGGAGAACAAAATACAACACTATTAAAAGCTAGCTAAAACACTATCTAAAACTAGCTTAGCTATCTATAACACTATTAAAAGCTAGCGTAGCTAGCTACAACACTATCAAAAACTAGCTACAATATTACTGAAAGCTAGTTTAGCTAGCTACAACACTATTAGTTACTAGCTTTGGTTTTACAACGTTGTATTGCTGTCTTGTTCAGTAACAGGAAAGAACAATTAAATAAACTTTGAATTGCGTTTAATAATAATACATACGTCAGATTTTAAGCCGGATCTTCAGGAACATAATTGTGAAAATCGCATACTATTTGAAGCCGTAGATTTTAGTGGAGCAGAAATAAACAGAGGGACCAATAGTTCTAACAAAATTATTAATTTAACTACTAACAATACAATAAATTTTAAGTTTTAATTTGCAAAAGATACTTTTTTAATTATATAGTACTATCATACCTACTTGTACAGCAATTGCTCCATTACCTTAAGGTTGGCTTGAAAAGATTGCTCTCAGCAATAAGACCGCCTTACTGTACTTATACAATTGTATGGTTGTGTTTGTAAATTGCCTTGCTTATTTCCTATATTGTATAATGCAAATAAAGTATACTCATTCATTCATCAATTATTCTTAAATATTTTTTTTATATATAAAAAAAAACATATTTTTTATACACATGAAGTTATCTGGCCAGTGTGGTGCCACCGTGACAGTAGGTTGCGCCCGATGTAACATGCATCCCGCCAACCATATCAAATAGTGAGGAGAGGATTTTTTTTATACAACTTAGAATGGCAAACAAGCTGACGGCCCACCTGATGGAAAGTGGTAACCGTCGCCTATAGACATGAGCAGTACCATGGACACACACACAACAGAGTATACTGTTTTGCCCATGATACCCCCCATGCGTTACCATTCCTGAGGACTCAGGTGTTATTCCTCTGTACCCAGTACATTCACGCCACGCAATATCCAAATATATGTATCTTTATCTTAAAATTTCAATATTAATTCTTTCTTACAAAATCCTATAGATGCATCTTTCTACTTGCTACTACACTTTCATTTATGGTTACACTTACCTAAATTTTAATCATCAAAACTTATAGTCCAATTTTTAACATTGTCTATGGCCAATAGTTTTTTTTTTAAACAACTTACCGACTGCCAGTCTTCTTGCCGCTCGAAGCGGGCGGGTTCTGTTCGCTTCGCGAGCTCGGCTCGGCGGAGTTGCTCGCGCGCCCGGCTGCCGAGGTCGGCCGGTCCTACCCGGATGAACTGGAGCGGGTTCGCGGCCGGCTTGCCGGGTATAACCGCCGCTGTGTGCGGACGAGTCGCCAGGAAGTCCGCGCTGTCTGTTGTCTGTAAAGATGATGTGGTTATTCGATACGGTGTAACAGAATCAATGTACTTGAAGAATGCAAGTGGTGTTCTTGTTCATAGGCGATGGTTATCGTTCTCCATCAGGTGAGCCGTCTGTCTGTTTGCTACTCTACATATCATAGTTTAAGATTATGTTTCATAAAAAAAAAACGAGTTCACCTGTAGCAAAACCAGTTATTTTGATTTAAAACTAAACTGCTGATCCAATTTTGATAAAATTTCTATGGAATCAATCCGTAAGTACGAGATTATATATGCATTCAGATAAAGAAGAATTTTGCAAACCGGTTTACAACTGACAGAGTTATGGGGCTTTTTTTATGAATGATAATTAAATGGTAACTCCGCCTGCGCTAACGGTATACGCTGGCGGGGCACCAGTGAGGGATAAACGGTGAGGATGAAAAGATAGGTCTGTTAGCCCATCGTGACGAATACACCTGAAATTCAACACGATAGTTTCCAGGGGAGACCACATGGAGGTCGACCTGACAGGGTATATTATTAGCAATGGGACTAGTAGTTCGCATTGTTAACAAACATAAAAAAATTTGACGTTCATAAGCGGCTAAAATGTCCTACATGAATAAATGATTTTTGAATTTTGAATTTTTACCAAAAAAAAACAAATTAAAAGCCTTCTTTTTTCGAAGTCGTTTAAAAATTTTAAAAAATATATAGATAATACAATTCTTTTGCTGTTGACGAACATAAAAATTGCAAAAGATTTTAAAATGTGTACTTTTTTTTTCGAACAATATCCTGAAATTAAATTATATTAATTAATTATTTATAAATGCTTGGCACATATAGATTTGGGCATGACTCGTCTATACCATTCGTAGGTTTTAATAATTTTAAAATATCCATTTTGAATTACATAAAAATAGCACGAAAGTCCATAACGTATTTACCTAATTAAAATTACAGTTAAACCGTTCTGCAATAAATAGATTAGGCACAGATTTTCGTTATCGTCCGGAATTACCTAAACCGCTTTTGTAAATCGTCTGGAAACAGCGTGAAAATCAAATTAGGATCCTTTACAGTTAATTATAAATGGAGAGCGTAAAACTAAAAAAAAAAAAAACACTAAAAATTATTATTCGTTGATGAGTAATGACACGGTGCATTTAGATTTTAATAAAAGTTTCTCAAATATAAATGGATTAGTTTCTAAAATAATAATGAGTAAATAATTTCAAATTGCCACTTATTACCTGAAAACAGTTATTAAGTAAAAGCGACTTCAAATTAAGAGTTCAAAGTAAATGCTAAATTACTGAACGCATTTCCATAAAATGTCTATGACAATGAATCAATCTGTAAGATTCTTTGTAAGAAAATTCTTTGTTTACCCTTTTACATAAAAAGAAAATTGCAAATAGGTTTGCAACTGACAAAGTTATGAAAGGTAATAAACATGAAAAAAAAACACAACTGAATCGAGATCCTCATTCTTTTTTAAAGTCGGTTGAAAAGAGGTTCTAGATTTTTTTGTTTTTTGAACTGACAATTATAACCAATTTAGAATTAAGTTTTTATTTTCAAAATTATTACTAATATGTCCGTTCTATTCTAACTTCGTTAAGATTCGGAAAGGGACTGTTAGCAATGGAGTTTGACAGCCCCATTGCTAGCAATATGCCCTATTAAGTCGACCTCCACGTGGTTCCCCCTGGAAACCATCGTGAACAATTCTTGTTGAATTCGTCACGATGGGCTAACTGACCTGCTTCACCCTCATTTATCAAGCCCCGCTAGTGTATACCGATAACACAGGCGGGGTAACCATTCCATTATCATCCATTAAAAAAAAACCTTGTTAAGATTGTAGTGGAACAAAATTTCAAATGAGTTACATTTAAACTCTATCGAAGAAAAAAGAATCATCAAAATCTGTTGGTGAGGATATCGCGTAAAGTATACATACAAACACATGCAAAAGAAGACAGTGGTTCTCAACTTTTATATACCGGTAAAAAAAAAAGTAATTTTACCTTAACTAATGTTGAAATATAAATGCATTAGGTTTCGTTTGCTAATTATACATAAGCACTGAAGACACGTTTGACCGTGGATCTATAAAAAACGGTATTAAACTAAAAAGTGCTTTAACACAACCACGACTAGGCATCATTTAGAGGGGCGTGCTGAATTAATTACTCCAATTTCTCAATAATAAACGATTGAATATTTACAGTCACGTCGAGCGAATGTAATACTTGTACATCTATGTACTTTCTACGATTGCGTAAACCCGTTTCCTGGCTCCGGATATGCGACTTATTGCATTTTAAGTGCAGCATTCAAGAGAGACCGCGAATGTAATTTGTACTGGCGTTCCTAAAAATGACGATGAGACGAAACCTACATTATTTTCTTTACTACTTTTTGCCCGCAACTTTGTATATGTAGATTTCAGAAGTAGTAAAATAAATTAAATAAACCAAAATCTAGATGATGTATCATAACACAATGTATACCCGATTTTAAGTTAGATCTTCAGAATAGGACTGTGAAAACCGCATCTAATTTGGTGTAGCAGTTTTAGCGTGACGTCGAAACAAACATAAAGACAGGGGGGAAAGGGATTGTTAGTAATGGAGACTGAGAATCCCCCTGGAAACTATCATGGTTAATTCCTGATAAATTCATCAAGATGAGCTAACTGGCCTGTTTTCATTCTCATCTATCACCCTTCACTGGTGCTCCGCCAGCGTATCCCGTTAGCGCAGGCGGGGCTACCATACCATTTTCACCCATCAAAAAAAAAACATAAAGACTAGAAGACTATTTGCAAATGTAATTTTTAATATAGAGACATAACATATACTAAATCTTTACACGGAATATTTAAATCATATTAATATAATAAAAGATTTTTTTTCGAAATTTTATGTCTCTATCTTTGTTTGTTCCGACGCTAAAACTGTTGTACCAGATTAGATTCGATTTTCAAGTTCATTCCTAACGATCTAACTTAAACATAGACAAAGTTGCGAGACACAAATTTACAGATGGACAGTGTATTATTTCAAGCACTGGTGATTCAATAAAAAAAATGCTGCTAAGATAATACCATACATAAGACATAAAGGTGCTAAATAAAAAAAAAAAGAGAGACATTTCCGAAACATCTTTTACACCAACACAATAACAAATGCAAACTTTATTACTATTAAAACACACATACGCAATTTTTCCATTACACAGACCAACAAAGATGTATAAAATATTGGCAACTACACTGTAATAACGCAACATTTGTAACAACAAATAAATAACCATCAAATACACGTAGATTACGGCGAATATGAAATATCACCGCTCATAACCCATTTTCTATTTGTAAAGATGTTTCATTCGTCAGCAAGCGCAATAAATAATGAAAGTTACATCGTTTTATGTTTTTCTGTTTAGATTTTCTTATATACAGGGGGAAGGGATTGTTATTTATTTATTTATTTATTCATTAAAAATAATTACAACATTATGACAGCAAAAACCAAATACTTTAATAACATAAACCTAATGTGCTAATATACAAGATTTTTTTTTATGGGTGTAAATGATATGGTATATTCCCCGCTTGCGCCAACGGCATATAAAAATCGATTAAAAAAAGGATACGCTGGCGGAGCACCAGTGAAGGGTGATAGATGAGAATGAAAACAGGCCAGTTAGCCCATCATGATGAATTCATCAATATTTAACCATGATAGTTTTGAGGGAGAACCGCGTGGAGGTCGACCTGGTTGGGTGTATTGCTAGCAATGAGATTCTCAGTCCCCATTACTAACAATCTCTTTCCCCCCAACATACAAGATTATAATAAAAGTATTTAACCCGACTCCAGATATTTCTGAGTAATTAGTAACAGTACTATTGCTAGCAATACACCCAGTCAGGTAGAGCTCCACGCGGTTTCCTCTGGATTAACCATCGTGGTTAATTAACGATGAGCCAATCGACCTACTGTCCTCCTCACTTATCATCTCTCTCTGGTGCCCCGCCAGCGTATACCGTTAGCGCAGACTGAATAGCTATTTTCATTTATTTATTTATATTTTATTTCATGAAAAAATTTTAATAATGGCGTGTAGGTCCCGGCATAGAATAGGATACCCCTTTCTTTCCCGTGGGTGTTGTAATAGGCGACTAGAAGAGCTTATGCTGGAGGGATGGGCAGTAGCGTACCTCTTAAAACGTCACCAAAAGTCAAACTGCGATTGCCAAGCATAGCAACTACTGGCATAACCTTTCTCAATAACATAAACCTCCCGGCTTATTTTTTTATGTAACTTAGAATGGCAGACAAGCTGACGGCCCTCCTGATGGAAAGTGGTAACCGTCGCCTATAGACATGAGCAGCACCATGGACGTAACAGAATATACTGTTTTGACCAAGATGTCCCTATGCGTTGCCATTCCTGAGGACTCAGGTGTTATTTCTTTGTATCCTGTAAACTCACTGCTATATCCCACACTTCCAACCGAATTACAGCCATGCAAACACAACTGCTTCACGGTAGAAACATGAATAGGACAGAGGTGCCCAAGCAAAGGACTTTTGTACAAAGCCTTCCTCTCTCTCTCTCTTCTTATGTTCAATAGTGGACAATTAACAGCTGATATGATGAACTTTCTAGTTAGACTAACAATCTATTACTGATAAATGATAACCATAGAATTGTCTCTGAGTTAAATCACGATAATAACTTCGTGTCACATAAAACAAAGTTTACTTTACCGTTCGCATAACGGGACGCTCGATAAGTCTCTGCCGGTCCCTTTGTGCGTGAAAGCGTGAAGATTATCTTAGCAATATTATAATTGAGCATGTGTGCTGCGCAGACGCATGATCTAAATAACCCACTTGTGGACAAGAGGTAGAAGATACAGTTTTGTGGTTGTACAGAATGGGAGCGGATTTTCAAGTAGGCAATTTGAATCCATATTGCTATATTTGCCTACAT